TGAGGCCTACTTAAAGGAATTAAGCAATGTGATTGTAGATTTGTAGGATTTTGGAGTAGATTGTTAATTTAAAAAGGTTCTTCACTTTTTTTATTTTTATATTATTCTTTTAATGTTTAGTAATCACATTAAATTTCGATTAATTTACAATCGAATTAAGTCAAATTTCATTGTAAAAAAGTTTTATTTATAAGAGTTAAATTCGAAATTTTATTTAAAAAAAATTGAATTTTTTCCATTTAAACCATTAAACCAATAAGTCATTGGTAAGGATTTTCAATTTTAAACGGAAGAGGTGGTGCAATATCAGGAACTTATTCTTCACTTTAAAGGTAATTGTTTTGGTTTTTTAATTAAAAAACCGTTTTGTAGTTTTAAAATAACTATTGTTATTATTTTATTTAAAATTTATTTTAATTAATTATTATTATTTTAATTTTTAAGTTAAATAAATAATTTTTATTATTAATTTACTGTTATTTATGGACTTTAATTATTTATTTTATTATAAAGAAATTTATTTGTCTTTTTTTAAGGTAATATATGTAAAGCAGATTGTATTAAATAACACGTCATTTGCACCTAAGATTGTCATGCTGGTAAAGCAGTGCTGGCTCATCAATCATCCTGAGATTCCCCTATGCCCTATCAATCATCAAATTTGCACCTAATACCCCTGGCCCACCACGCCATTGCCACAATTTGATTAATCCTAGTCGCGTACCACTGGATAATAACTACAACGGCTCCAAAGGCTTCCTAAATGACCAAAACACCCTTTTAGCGCTAAACCGTCAAAGTCTCCGTCTTATGAGTCCGTTACGATGTAAACCCGCTTTACTGAGGCCTTTTTATACCTCTCTTCCTCCCTGTAGGGACTCTTGGTCTCCGAAAACGGAGCGATATATATATATATCTATGGGCGGCGGAGAACAGTCAGAGATGGCGCAGAGACAGCCTGGTTTCTTGGTTCATGAAGACGCGTCCAATTCTCTCTTGCAGAACAGTCGCTGCTGCTTCTGTTTCCCTCGTTTTGGTAGTTCGCACCGTTCCTCCACCGACGTCCCCTTTTGGGAGCGCATACGGGTATCCCAGATTGAATCTGGAAACAACTTATGGGCCCGAGGGATTAGAGCCTTCAAGAAGATTCGCGAATGGTCGGAAATCGTCGCTGGTCCCCGCTGGAAGACTTTCATCCGGAGATTCAACAGGAATAGGAGCGGCGGCGGCAGCGGCAGTAATAGGAACGGGAAATTCCAGTACGATCCTTTGAGTTACGCTCTGAACTTCGACGAGGGGCCTGGACAGATTGGGAATTTCGACGAGGACGAAGAGCACGGCGGGTTTCACGCTTTCTCGACCAGGTACGCAGCGGTTCCGGGTTCTGCGACGGTCAAGGCTTCGGCGTCGCCGACGTCATCGTCTTTGGATATTCGGAAGGACGTTTCCGTGTTTGGCTGAAAAATAAAATAAAATAAAAAATAAAAAGGAGAATATCGCCGTTGTAAACAAAACGCGTCGTTTCAATCGAGGCGGGTGTCTCGTGAGCCGGACTGTCTGACTTTGATTGGTTGACGTTAACGGCGGCGTTCCTAGTAGCTTCTTTTCATTTAGATTAATTTTATCAGTTTTATTTTTATTTTCATGATGCTATAAATATTTGGAATAATAGTTTTTTTTAAAATTTTTTTTTCTGATAGTGAAGGGTGAGGTTGATGCGTGTACAACAAAAATTAAAGCAAGTTTAGGATTGGTAATTAAATTATTTCATTATTTGAGGGTTTCTTGTGGGCAACAATGGCGTGGGATAAGGATGTGTGTAAATGTTTTGAGTGATTTAGTGGACTATATTTTTGAAACTTTGTTGTTAATGGCTGACCTTGTGTTCTTTTTGCATTCCTTAATTCATTTATTTCTCTAGGGTGTGACCATCATTTATTTCTTTAGGGTGTAGTAATGGTGACTTGTTGTCATTGGGGATGTCAACGAGATCTTACAAGATTAAGGAGTCCCTCTCCATTCCTCCTATCCTTATGAACGACAAAAATGAGATTCCCCACATAGATTTTTTTTACAGAGAATAGATTTTGCATTTTATCCCTGTTCACAGAGAACGAGATCTTGGTAGGGATCTCATTTTTTGTCAATTAATATCAAAATATTATTTTTTTACATATAATTAATTAATATTTAATTATAATGAATAAAATTTTAGAATTTAAGTACAGTTAACTAAAATTTTTTAAATATAAAACTAAATATAAATTGTCTAAATATAAATAAAGAT